GGTATTGTAGGTCTTCATAGAATTGGTCAATTTCAGCATCTTCAGCATTGGTGGTTGGTGCATAAACTTGGATTACTGTGATGTTGAAAGGTCTGGCCTGGATTCCTACTGAAATCATTCTATCATTTTTGAGATTGTGTCCCAGTACAGGTTTCCCCACTCTTTTATTGACTATGAGGGCTATTCCATTCCTTCTATGGGTTTCTTGCCCACAATAGTAGATATGGTGATCATCTGAATTGAATTTGCCCATTTCCGTCCATTTTAGTTCACTGTCACTGTTTATTCTTGCCATCTCCTGTTTGACCACATCCAGTTTACTAAGGTTCATAGATCTTACATTCCAGGTTCCTATGCAGTATTCTTCTTTGCAGCATCGGACTTTCACTTCCAGGCATGTCTACAGTTGAACATCCTTTCAGCTTTGGCCCAACCACTTCATTAGCTCTGGAGTTACTTGTACTTATCCTCTGCTCTTCCTCAGTAGCATGTTGGACGGCTTCCAACCTGAGGGGCCCATCTTCTAGCGTCATATCATTTAGCCTTTTGTTTCTGTTCATGGGGTTTTCTTGGCAAAGATACTGGAGTGGCTTGCCAGTTCATGCTCAGGTGGATCGGGGTTAGTCAGAACTCTCCACTATGATCTGTCCATCTTGGGTGTCCCTGCATGGCACAGCCCATAGCTTCTTTGAATTACTTAATCCCCTTCGCCATGACAAGGTAGTAATCTGTGAAGGGGAGGGAGTTTTTAAAAGGACCAAGTGTCATAAAGCTATTGAATTTGGAACCCTAGTTAATGCAATTGACCTATATTATGAACAATTCCAATGAGAGTGAGCAGTTGCTCAGTACCTCTGTGCTGAAGCGGAAGTGCTGTTGTTTTAACGAGTGCTGTTTGCTTGTGCAATAGATGGGTCATAAGTGCTCAGAGTTTATATAACCAAAAAAAGCAGCATTCATTTTTAGGGGGGAAAGACAACAAGATTATCCTCTTACAATGCAGGCAAGTCTCCTTTTTTGTGAAATGTTTCTGCATCTCTAAGTAATTTTTGGAGTTCGGGTATGTGTTTGGGGTTATCGACTCCTAATCCAGTAGACAAGATCTCAGAGCGAATGTTGTATTCATTGATATACGTTTTCAGATCTAGAAGTCTGGTGACTCGAACCTGGAAATAAAATGAATAAGCAGTGTTTGATTTCACACTGTTTATAAGGTTCAACATTTCACTTTTTTCTACTGTCACTGTTCCAACACTGTCTCCTTTTAGCTATGAACACAAAACTGACCTGAACTGGCTTAAATTAATCACTAAGTACATCTTTATTCAGATGAGAGGTGTCCATTGTAAAAAGTGCTGCAAGAAGTCCCAACAATGCTTCAGCATGCCAAATTTTTTAGATTTTAAAGTAATTAACAAGTATATAGGGAATGTTTGGCTCTGTGCTATGTTTGCTGTACTGCAACTTCCATCAGTACTAACCATCACAGTCAGCAGTGATGAGTAATGGGAAGTGCATTCCAACAACATCTGAAGGCTTATACAGTACTCATCTCTGACTAGCTGAAAGCCAACACTGCAACTCTAAGGCAGTGGACCTGAAGTTGAAAAATGAACCCTTTAATTAATGGCAATCTGTCACTTCCAGCAATGTCATTCCTGTAGTGCCGCCAGAGTTAGCAACAGGATACAAGCCATTTACTTTGATATACAATTCTCAAACCAATCACTTGCACTGAGATATCCAACTGTTATAATCAATTATACTGTTAAAATATGAAATAGTTGTTTTAATACTGGACTTTGTGAAATCTAACTTCAATGTATAGTCCTTCTTATAGTTGCCCAGTTTATGTTTCCAGGCAGAGATCCAATATGTGGACACAAACCTGGGGCCAACGGGTTTTATTGCATCTGGTTCATTCATGATTACAGTATAAGACAGAAAAAAAATATTTAATATTGTATTACATACCACTGGATCCAACCAAACTGTGTTCTTCAGTGCAAGGACTATTTTTGCTTCATGTGGTATTCCTCTGATCTTGTTATTAATGTACCTAGTAACCTAATGAAACCCAAAGATAATCCTTAGGTAGTACATGTCTGTCTTAAAAGGTTTAGGACCTCGATATCTAGCGGAATGCTTCCTCCCACCTAGATCTGCTCAAATCACTTGTTCTAGCCAGGAAGGGCGGCTGAGGGGACTAACGCTGAGGGAGGCCTGGAGGGAGAGAACAAGAAACCGGACCTTCTCAGCAGTGGCCCCTCGCCTTTGGAATAGTCTGCCCCCAGAGATGTGTCTGGCTCCCTCGCTGGGTGTTTTAAAGAGCAAACTTATGGCTTCCCCATCACTTGAATATTTTTCCCATCTTGAACCATAATATTACTGTTGTTGTTTTTATTTTATTATACGTTTTTACTCTATCTATTATTGTTAGCTGCCCAGAGTAGACTTCGGTCTAGATGGGCGGGGTATAAATTAAATAAATAAATAAAGGATGGATTTACCTTATCACTAAGCAGGCACTATAGCATGCTCATACCAACTGTATGCTAGAAAGAAAAGGGAGGTGTTCTTCTACTTGGAACAGACTTCCCAAGTTCTTTTCTTGGCTTAGGGCAATGAAGTGATGAAATCAGGAAACTACAGTTAATGCATGCCATCACTATTGCTTCATAGAAAAAAAGAGGGTGTTACATACAGCTATGACATCACCT